ATCATTCCATAGTTTCCTGAGTGCCTACTCAGTGAAAGACCCCATGCTAGGATCAGGGAGAGCAAGAGGAATGAGTAAAAAATCTGGCTCTAGAGGAGCTTACAATCTAAAGTGAGTGTGGAGGGTTAAAAGTGGCTGGAAATTCTTTTCTATGCCTCCAGCTGAGGGGTAGAGTCTAAATTCCCTCCCCTTGAATTTGGACTAGCAACCAGATGGATTTGATTAATCAATAGAATGGAGCAGAAGTCTAATGTTTGGTCTTCTGAGGCTAAGACAACAGAAGTCTTGCAACTTCCACCCAGTTCTTTTGGAATGCTTGGTCTAGGGGAAGCCAGCGGCCATGGAAGAAGTCCAAATGCCTTAAGACTATTATGCTAAAAAAGACATAGGTGGGCATTCTGGTCAACAGTTCAAAGTATCCCCAGTCTTCCAGCTGTCCCTGCCAAGGTGACAGACATGATTGAAACTATCATAGACCCTCCAGTCTAGGGCATCTGCCAGTTGAGTGCCACTCAGTGACCTCAGTTAATAGCATGGGAAGCAGAAGAATCTCCCAGCCAAGTTTTGGCCAAATTTACCTACCCACAAAATCCGCAGCTGTAATAAAAAGGACATTGTTCTAAGTCATTAAGTTTCGGGGTAGTTTGTTATCCCACAATAGACAACCAGAACAGAGATGTAAGAAAATAATCAGGTTCCCATAAGAATTTTAATAAAAGATATTTACAAAGTGTTGTTGGAAAACAGAACAAATAATTGGAACAGATCATTCTGTTCTTGGAGAGGCAAGGCCATCACATTGCCCCGCTTGGCAGAGCACCAATCACGTTGTAGTCTTTGTGAACAGCACCCCTGGAGTTGTGCGGTGCCCAATATGAGCAGACGTGTGGCAATTGTAGAGAATGGGTGCTGGGAAGGCAGGTTAGCAGGGAAAACTATATAAAAAAGGAACTGGAGCTGGGAATTAACTTGTGCTCCAAAGAGTGGGGAGAAATGACACTTAAGCCTGCATCAGCATGAGCCCAGACTTGAGAACAGAGGTACCCATGATGCTCTTGGTGCATCAATACTGGTTCCGTATCGCTGGCATAGACAGGAGGAGTGGCTGCAGGTGAGCCTCCGAAGGCAGACTGATGGGAAGGGCATCATTTTCTTTTTTCTTTTTTTCTTTTTCTTTTCTTTTGAGACAGAGTCTTGCTCTGTCACCCAGGTTGGAGTGCAGTGATGTGATCTTGGCTGACTGCAACTTCTGTCTCCTGGGTTGAAGCAATTCTCCTGCCTCAGCCTCCCCAGTAGCTAGGACGACAGGCATGCGCCACCATGCCCAGCTAGTTTTTGTATTTTTTAGTAGAGACGGGGTTTCACCATGTTGCCCAGGATGGTCTCGATCTCTTGACCTCGTGATCCGCCCACCTTGGCCTCCCAAAGTGCTGAGATTACAGGTATGAGCCAATGTGCCTGCCCGAAGGCCATCATTTTTATACCATGATGAGGATGAAGGCAATAATACTTAGAAGATTTTAAAGCAGGGAGCGACACATTCAAAACAGTATTTGAGAAAATTGCAGTTCAAAACCCCATAGACTACGAAAGACACTGTTCTTCCAATTCCCTGAGTCTCCCTGAAAGCTTGGTAGATAGGTTTTCTTTTTTTTTTTTTTTTATAGCAATGTCTTCAACAACAGGGGATTACTCGATGTTTCACTTAAAAGGATCGTTAAAGGAAAACCGAGGCGCATCACATCCTGCCTTCTTTAATTGCTCCTTTATTATTACTGTGGGTGAGATAACAGCTTTGTGTTATTCTTCCAAATAGTATAAAATGTTTATTGGTAAATGTAGCAGTACATAAATTAATGCCGGTTGAGATTATTTTTCTCCACCGATAGCCGTAATTTTTACTTAAAGTGAAACCATTTTGTGCTGCCCCATGCTGGCTCAGAGCTGAGTGTGGGCATTAGGAACTGACCACCTGTCACTTAGTTTCTAAGGGATGGCAGGATTTTGTTGGTGAGTTGGCTCTCTGGTTTGTTTGTGAAACCAATTTCTTTCATATTTTTTAAGACCACAGTACTTGGGAAGAGAGCACATGGAGGTGTAAAACGTTCTTTTCTCTGTCGCATCCAAATTTACTAGAAGTGGCTTTTAGAAATGAAGATACTCATTATTTCACTTATCTGAAAGTCAACAGGAGGGTGGGTTCATAGAGTTGATCTGGTGGCTTAACACTCACTGAGGACCCAAAATTGGCTCTTCACATGACAGTGTCCAAACACAGGAAATATTTTTGTGTTTTGTTTTAAATTTTTTTTATTTCTGGAGAAATTTTTTTTTTCCAAAATCCTCCTGCAGACATCCTCTCGGGTTTTCTATTCCTGATCTGGGTTCATATCCACCTCTAATCCGACCGCATGAAAGAGAGAAAGCTTAGAGGAGATGAGATGTGGCCCATTCTCTGGGCAGGGGAGAAGGACACACGTCCTCTGCCAGCACTTGGCAATTCTGTATTTGAGGCAAATGGGGCTTTCTTATAGGCAACTCCAGAGGAATGGCTGTGTGTGCAGCATATGATGTTGGCCACAGGTCAAACCAATTTAAGGGTGTTGATTTAATACATACCGTATGCCCAGTTCTGTATCCCTGCTGGCAGATACAACAGAAGCATAGAAGACAATGCTTGTTCTCAGGGAGTATCAGTGGGCATTATAATAAAGCAGGCCATTCCTTAGCTGGAGGAATTAATTTAATAAAATATACGGATTAGCTATTACACCTTGTGAGGTGGAAATAGAGAGATGGATAAAACTTGGTTTTTGCCCACAAATAATGTGCAGTTCCCTTCACCATCTGCTTTATTCGGTCCAGTCATACTGCAGGTGGATCCATCCCCCAGCCTCCCCACACTCTGCTGTGCTGCCCCTGGAGCACACAGAGCTACATCGCAGCAGGAACGCTCTTTTCTCCCCTTTCAACTTGGTTTCTGAAGAGTCTCCCATCCAAGTACTAACCAGGCCTGAACCTGTTTAGCTTCCAAAGGTTTCTCCAGAGTCATCACTCATGGACCTGCCTGGGTTCAATGCTCCCTTCCAGCGTTCTCTCTACTTCTCCTAGTTTACCTTTGTCACAGCTGTTGCTGTCTTGGGTCCAGTATGCCAGCTGTTCATCTCAGCCAGGCCTGGAGCCCTCTGAAGGAAGGTTGTTCTGTCATCAATTTTTATCCTCAGTGATACAGAGGCATGAAATGGCATGGTTTGAGCCGAAAACTTCCAAGGGGTTCCATGTTACTGAAGCATGTATTTCAGGCAGGGGTGTTATAATGAATAATGAAGCTAGAGATATAAGAAGGGCAAGATCATAAAGAGCTTTGAAAATTTTATTAACGAGCTATGACTTTATCCTATATGTGATGGGGAATTATAGAGGTCTTTGAAGCAGATGAGAAACATGAGTCTTATTAGTGGGAAGATTAAGGCTTTGCCTTAAATAAAATACCCTCTCCTCCAAGTATCTTAAAATGTAAAGAGCCCTGCACTGATTTGGGGAGCCTGGGCTGAGTTATACTTCTGGCTTTTCTGTATGTATTATGCAAGGAGACTCAGCAAGTCCACTCTGTCTCTGAACTCAGGGTTCTCTTCTGTATAACAAAGGATAGACTGTCAAGCATTGCAGAGATCCCTTAGAGTTTTTTTTTTTTTTTTTTTTTTTTTTTTTTTTTTTTTTTTATAATAGGATTTGGTGTCACTCTGCGATTCTCTTGAGAAAAGTAGGAGTTCATTCTTGTCAGTCAGGGAGTCTTTGTGTCAGAACATTTTAGTGAATTTCTGTTTCGTGCCTCTGTGCTGTATGCAAAAATAAGCCAAGCCTACTGAAAGAACAGACCTGTGCTACCCTGGCCCACAAAACCCTTTTACTTTCTTGTTTTCTGTATAAATCATTACTGCTTATTCTTTTTTTTAAAGGATATTTTTATTTATTTATTTATTTTTTTATTGCATTTTAGGTTTTGGGGTACATGTGAAGAACATGCAAGATTATTGCATAGGTACACACATGGCAGTGTGGTTTGCTGCCTTCCGTCCCCTCGCCTGTATCTGTCCTTTCTCCCCATGCTATCTCTTCCCACCTCCCCACCCCCCCGTCCCTCCCCCATTTTCCCCCAACGGACCCCAGTGTGTAGTGCTCCCCTCCCTGTGTCCATGTGTTCTCATTGTTCAACACCCACCTATGAGTGAGAACATGCGGTGTTTGATTTTCTGCTCTTGTGTCAGTTTGCTGAGAATGATGGTTTACAGGTTCATCCATGTCCCTACAAAGGATGCGAACTCATCATTTTTGATGGCTGCGTAATATGCCATGGTGTATATGTACCACATTTTCCCTATCCAGTCTATCATCGTTGGGCATTTGGGTTGGTTCCAGGTCTTTGCTATTGTAAACAGTGCTGCAATGAACATTCGTGTGCACGTGTCCTTGTAGTAGAATGATTTATAATCCTTTGGATATATACCCAGTAATGGGATTGCTGGGTCAAATGGGATTTCTATTTTTAGGTCCTTGAGGAATCGCCACACTGTCTTCCACAATGGTTGAACTAATTTACATTCCCACCAACAGTGTAAAAGTGTTCCTATTTCTCAAAAATATGGAACGCTTCACGAATTTGCGTGTCATCCTTGCGCAGGGGCCATGCTAATCTTCTCTGAATTGTTCCAATTTTAGTATATGTGCTGCCGAAGCGAGCACTGCTTATTCTTTTATTCATCCTGCTGATGTTACTACATCAGATAGGTCTGCAAAGAGGGGCTCTGAAGACTAAATAGGGAGGGAGGTGCAGCCCCTGGGTCCCTTATCAAATGAGTCCCCTTGTCTGTCCTTTCTCTGCAATAAGTCTTTCTCCATGGCAGGAGGTAGAGTCCTGCTATTGCGCTTACATCCCTGATCATCCAACTTTTTTCTCTTGCGTTCCTTCTTAAACATGGCTGCCTGTGTTCTCATTGCAGACCTCCTCCGACAAGGAGTCCATCCTGACCATCCTCAAGGTCCTCGGAGATCTGCTTTCTGTTGGTGAGTAGGCCGTACTCTCATGCTTTCATATGGTGGGCATGGAGCCTCCCAGCTGTGATCTCTCCCGGGGATCTCTGTGGCCTGGGGGTTTGCTCTTGCTTCAGTTTCCTGCAAGAGGCAGCATCACCAACCCATCTTTTTTCTCTAAGGTTAATAAGACTCAAGCAACCTGGACTGATTGTACTTGCAATCAGTCTTCTAACCCAACACTAAAGAGGAAAGTAGACTTAGTAGTAACCCTCTGTGGGTCTACCCTTCTTCTCCCTCTGCTCTCTTCTGTGTGGCCTATTTAAGAGAGCCAAGTATCAGGTAGAGACAGAAATGTCAGGCAGGAACTGAAATTGGAAGCGGGTAAGCATCATGTTTCCAGAGATAAGATGACGTCGTTGACTACATTGGAATCAACTGAGTTAACTGGAGCATGCCTCTATTAACTCAAGTTTCTAGTGAGATTTTTGAACATTCCAACATTCGCTCAATTTGCATTTTTATGTATGCTGGCCACATTACTCTAGAAAGAGATGTTAACCCTGAACAGGCAATGTCAGAAATAAATGACACTCCGGACCAGGCATCCCCAAACTTTTTACACAGGGGTCCAGTTCACTGTCCCTCAGACTGTTGGAGGGCTGCCACATACTGTGCTCCTCTCACTGACCACCCCTGAAAGAGGTGCCCCTTCCTGAAGTGCAGCGGGGGGCCGGATAAATGGCCTCAGGGGGCCGCATGTGGCCCACGGGCCATAGTTTTGGGACGCCTGTTCCAGACCCACAGATCCTGAAGGTTACGGTCTCAAGAGGAAGGGGTCCATCATATTGGGGTCTTACCATGCTTTTTGCTGCATTCTATTAGCAGGATGACTTCCGTTTAGTCTTTTGAGTGGGGTCTGTGTAAGTGAAGTCACTTGTCTCTGGGACAAGTGCTGTCTTACGTTTGTTTAGTGGTGTCTGAAACTTTTAGGATGAAACCTTGAAGTTCTCTCTCTGATAAGGTGGTGATTACTGCACCTCTTTCAGAGAATGCTACCTTTCATTAGGATAAAAAATCAGATGTTCTTCTTTGATAGTGTCCCACCCTCTTGGCCACCTTGGTTAGGTCAACTTTGCCCCGTGTATAGAGAGAATTAACCAAGGGCAAGTTGACATGAAATTGTTGCTTTTGAGTTTGTCCTTGGGCAAGGTGGAGGAGATCCCTGTTCAAAATTGTTCTTAGGTAGAAAGACCAATAGTTCATCAAAGTTCTAGACTCTTCAAAATTCCCTAGATAGGATGTTTGGATTTTTCTTTCTCAAGATACTACTCTAGTAGTTTCTGTAATTCTCTCCCATCAGTTTCTGAAAATCCGAAAATCATTATGCCATCAATACAATGATTCCAGATTAGGTCATCATCCCAATCCTTGTTACAGAAGACTCAAATGTATAGCAGAGGGATACTGATATTCTTTCTTCTAAATATACGAGTATACAAAAGCCTATATGCAAATTACAACATGTACACACAGGTATACACGCATATACCAACTATTCAACAGATTCTCAGGCAAGTGCTGTATATTAATTACATGTTTTGCAGATGAACAATACTACGTTCTTAAGTATTCCACTATTTTCCTGTTTCACAACCCTCTTTCCTTACCTGCTAATACAGCTTTCACACAGGTTGCTTCAAGAACTACACGATTTTGTGTAGTCGAAATGAACTAATTCTTTCTCTGTCTCTAGCTGCGAGGTCTGTCTTCTGCTCCAAGAAAAATGGGGTTTTTTACTTGTGGCTCATCTTTCCTCTGGCTTCCCCTCAGGCACAGACCGGAGGATTCACTACATGATCAGCAAGGGTGGCAGTGAAGCTCTTCTGCAGACCCTGGTAGACACAGCGAGGACAGCTCCTCCAGACTATGACATCCTCCTGCCTCTCTTCCGGCTGCTGGCCAAAGTTGGCCTAAGAGGTACTCATACTCCAAGACCTAAAGCTAACTAATAAGGCACTTCGAGGGTTTTTTGATGAGTCCAATTTGGGAAGCTCCGGTGGAGAAGCACAGGGAGGAAGTGGCAGGGAGGTTCTGGACACCTTGGTGGTGACGGCAGGACCAGACCCATCAGAGAAACAGTTTCGTTGACTTAGATGTCAGCTCATCCAAGGTATGGTGCTCGGGACAGAGCCCAGAACAAACATGGGCTACATGGGGCATGGACCGTCTAGGGGGAAGGAGGGGAGTACTCCAACGCAGTTTTTAATTGTTTAAAAAATAAATGGAACATGTCTAAATTGCATCACAAGGCTGTGGAGAAAAAGGAACACTTATACACTGTTGGTGGGAGTATAAGTTAGTTCAATCATTGTGGAAGACAGTGTGGTGATTCCTTAAAAACCTAAAGACGAAATACCATTCAACTCAGCAATCCCATTACTGGGCATATACCCCAAAGAATAGAAATCATTCTATTATAAAGACACTTGCTCCCATTCATTCATTGCAGCACTATTCACAATGACAAAGACATGGACTCAATCTAAATTCCCATCAGTAATAGACTAGATAAAGAAAGTGTGGTACGTATACACTGTGGAATATCATACAGCTGTAAAAAGTAGATCATGTCCTTTGCAGGGACATGAGTGGAGCTGGAGGCCATTGTCCTTAGCAAACTCAAGCAGAAACAGAAAACCAAATACCTCATGTTGTCACTTATGCGTGGGAGCTAAATGATGAGAACACGTAGACACAGAGGGGAACAACAAACACACTGGGGACTGTCGGGATGGAGGGTGAGAGGAGGGCGAGGATTAGGAAAAATAACTAATGGGTACTAGGCTTAATACCTGGGTGCTGAAATAACCCATACAACAAATCCCCATGACACAAGTTTACCTATGTAACAAACCTGCACATTTACCCTTGAACTTAAAAGTTAGAAAAAGAAAGTCTATTAGACAAGCGGACTGTTTTCCTAAGGCTGTCATAAAAAATGGCCACCAGCTGACTAGCTTAACATAATGGAAGACTGTTAGGAGATCAGAAGTCCGAAATCAAGTGTTGGCAGGATTTGGTTCCTTCTGCAGGCCCTGAGGGAGAATCGGTTCCCTGCCTCTCTGCTCTGAGGGTTCTGGAAATACTTGGTGTTTCTTGGACTGTAGATGTTTCACTCCAGTCTCTGCCTCCATCTTCACATGCGGTTCTCCTCTGTATCTTTTCCTCTTTGTGTAAGGCCATCAGTCATAGGGTTTAGAGCCTACTCTAATTTGTATGACCTAATCTTTAGTAATAAAATCTGCAAAGACTCTATTTCCCAAAAGAATAGCATTCTGAGCTTCCGGGTGGACGTGAATGTTTTGGGGCCACTATTCAATCCACTGCAAGTCACGCAGAAGTGGAACATTCCTAGTTGAAGGGAAGATGGGGGAATGGCCTAGAGTTCTTTCCATTTAGGCTCCATAGTCGTTACTCTTTTACCGAGGAAGACCCTGAAACATTTCCCTAAAATTCTAGAAGTTCTTGGAGCACAGTTTAAAAGCATGGGCGCTCAGGACTCAGGCAAACATTGCAAATGAATTGTAAGTGTTAAGTTCTCATTGTGTGCTGAGTCTTACATAGGTCACAGCAGAGAAGCCCAGATCCTCTGAAAAGTGGACCTTTGATGTCCAGAGCTATCAGTGGCAGCCAAGGGCCCAGGGGTTCTGGAGTACTCTTCCTTTCAATATTTGGATCTCCACTTTGAGTCCATTTAACATGCTGCTGCTAATGATGGAGAACTAGGCGTTTTGCCAGCACCTGCATGAGCACGTCCTAGAAAAAAATCAATACAATTCATTGGGCGAATATTCCACAGATATTTACTGCATGTCTCCTCGGGCCAGGTGCTTTAGGCACTAGGAACACCGTGATGACCAAGGAAATTAAGGATCTGCTCTCATGGAATTGTGTTCAAGAGGAGAAGGCCAGCAAATCCACAAATAACTTGGCGATAGCAGGCTATGATGAGTGATGTAAGAGGAAGCAAGAGTGATGCTACTCTAGACTGGTGTGGTCAGGAGAGGTAACATTTGAGCTAAAACTTCAAGAATGAGAAATGAGTAAACCAAAGAGTGGGCCATGTGAACTCCAGGAAAGGACCACAGAGACCTGATATATCCCTCGGTCATAAACGGTATAAGCTGGGGGAGTCAGACCTGGGTTTCAGTTCTGGCCCTGACACTTGCTAGCTGTGTGACCTTGGGCAAAGTAGTTAAACTTTCTGAGCATTGTGCCTTTATATAAAATACACTTATCTTTGTATAAAATAGAGTCATCTGTACAGTTGGCCCCCCAATTTCTGTGGGTTCTGCACGCATGGATTCAGTTAACCTTGGTTGAAAATGCTTAAACAATTGTATCTGTACTAAACAGGTACAGACTTTTTTCTTGTCATTATTCCCTAGACAAAACAGAATAACAACTATTTACATAGTATTTACATTAGATTAAGTATTACAGTGATCTAGAGATGATGTAAGGTACGAGGATGTGTGTAGGTAATATGCATATACTACACCATTTTATATCAGGGATTTGAGCAGCCAAGAATTTTGGTATCTGTGAGAATCCTGGAACCAATCCCATGTGGATACTTTACTTAATTCTAGGGTGATATGAGGATTAAACAAGGTATTGTATGTCACATGCTTAGCATGTGGTTCAGGACCCTGGAAAACTAGGGTCATACAGGTTTTATAGGAGAAAGAGAGAGATGAGAGATACACCAGTCCAGTGATTTCCAAGTTATTCACCTTGATATTACTATTGTAGTGATTACATCACCACAGTTTCTGCCATTAAGGGGTTATAGTCCTTGACATTGACATTCGAGTTGCCATAGGCTGACCCGAACAGAACAGAAATGAGGTTGGATGCTCATGAAGGAATGGGATAGATACCTCTTTTCTGATGAAGGGAATAGGTTATGTAGGTTTAGTTGCAACCTCTTTGCTGATGTCCTTTGGTCCAGAGGTACATATCAGTATATCAGGTTTAGGATTTTATTTCTGTTTAATTCATTTCTACCTGTGATGAATCTGATAGAGATGTATTCTTGCAAAAACAAACATGATGATTAGACATTACCCATTGACTGGTATCGTAGTGGGGACAAGGAAAAGAAAAGAAGTGTTTCTTTTTTATGCTTATTTCCTAATTATTAAAATAATAAGGACTTATTTGTAACACTAGAAGTTAGGCTATTTGGAACAATAATTTAGAAATATTAGAGGGAAAAATTTTATTTTTTAAAAAAGTATATGTTGACTTTTTATTATGAAAACTATCATATAGAAAGATGGCCTCTTACATACCTAAAACTTAGTTCTAACCATTGTTAGCATTTTTCCCTATTTTCTTCACCTATTTATTTTTATCCAAAATATTTTAAGAGAAATTACAGGTAGCATTTTCCTCCTAAATCCTTTCAAGTGCGTTTCTGTGAAAAGAGACATTTCCCTACATAATCACAATTACTGTTACTACAAACCTAATAAAATAAAAGATACATGTATACTTTATATTTATTCAAATTTCTCCAAATGTTCCCAACTGTCTTCTACAGACATATTCAGAGCAATATTCAATCCAAGTTGACACATTTTAATGTTACATCAAGAATTATATTAATATTAAGAATATTAAATATTCTTAATTCTAGAATTGTCTTAAAGGAAGAACTTTATTCCCAGTTGAACTGTGGTTAATGTATGAGGACAACCTAAATATAGGGGCTTGAGAGTTATTCAACCCACAAGCTTGCATGTAAATATGTGTAGCCCAAATTAGCTCTTTTGATTCATTTGGTTCTAGTGGGGACATATTTAGCTGCATTTGTCACTAGGTCTGAAAAATGTCTTTGGCTATGATTATCCTCCTCTTTCACCATCTTCCCCTTCCTCCATTTCACACACTGTACAATCCAGAATCAATGTGGAATGCAACTAAGCTAGATTGATTTGTGTTTTTAGATAAAAAGATTGGACGGAAGGCCCTCGAACTGGAAGCACTTGATGTCACGTTGATTCTGGCCAGGAAGAACCTCTCCCATGGCCAGAACCTTCTCCACTGTCTCTGGGCTCTGCGTGTGTTTGCCTCCAGTGGTGAGTGACTCTATTGTGGCTCTCGGGGATGACTTTCAAACCTGGGCAAGGGATACAGGAAACTGCATGAGGGTCTGGTTGGAAGGAAGGCATGGGTGGGTGATAGGCATGGTGGTCCCAGTCAGATAAATGAAAGGAGGCTGACAATCCAGATGCCGTGGAGGTGAGAAGTTACTTCTTCATCTTCTCCTTAGCCAGGCAGAGCTGTTGTCTGGTCTTAGAGATAGATTTCAATCATGTTTCTCCTTGGGAATCACACATGATAGTATTCTATACTTTTCTATTAGTACCACAAGGTAAAAAAAGATCTATGACAGGAGATGGGCAGACTTTATTTAGTCCTAGTCATATTCAAGCATTGTATCTGGGCAAAATGACTCTCACATCACTAATCTCCCTACCATATTCCTGAAATTACTTGTTGCTTGCAATGTCCCTTACCATTGAAAAAAAAAGAACCCATGATCCTTCTCAACAGGGTCCTCCAGGTAATTATTAGGAACATCATAGCCCAGTTGATACTTATTTGCTGACTCCTGATTAATTTCTCATAACAATTTTGTATTAAGAGCCACAATTTTATAGCTTAGAAAAAGAAACTTTAGAGTAAAGCAAGGCTGGGCATGGTGGCTCACGCCTGTAATCCCAGCCCTCTGGGAGGCTGAGGTGGGCAGACCACTTGAGCCCAGGAGTTGGAGACCAGCCTGGTCTCTACTAAAAATACAGAAAATTAGCTGGGTGTGGTAGCACGTGCCTGTAGTCCCAGCTACTTGGAAGGCTGAGGTTGGAAAATCACTTGAGCCCAGGAAGTCAAGGCTGTAGTGAGCAATGATCATGTCCCTGCACTCCAGCCTGGGCAACAGAGCAAGACCCTGTCTCAAAAAGAAAAAAAAAAAAAAGTGAAGCAATTGCTTGAATTCATACAGATAAAAACTCATAAGGGCAGAATTTCTAACTCCAGAACTAATTTTAATTCTATTCCATATGGAAACTTTTTATTAATACATTAGATCCTATAGCTTCTGTCTCATATATAATGAGCATAGACTTTCATTTCTCCTTTCTGAGTTCCCTTCCTGTGAAATGAAAATGACAATTATTTAGAGGTTATATAGTCTCTAGGGGAAAGAATGTGGGCTTAGAGCCAAAAAGACCTGAGTTTGACTGTGATTCTATTTCTTATGAATCACGAAACATGAGTACTTAACCTATTGAACCTCAGTTTCATCCTTTACAAAACTATAGTAGTAATAATGATTACCATTACTCTGCTAGGGCTGTCTTCACAAAATACCAGTCTGTGTGGCTTCAGCAAAAGAAATTTATTTTCTCACTTTTTATTTTTTTGAGATGAAGTTTCACTGAGTCACCCAGGGTGGAGTGCACTGGTGTGCCCAACTGCAGCCTCCGCCTCCCGGGTACAAGTGATAAGCGATTCTCCTGCCTCACCCTCCCAAGTAGCTGGGATGACAGGCACCTGCCATCATGCCTGGCTAATTTTTTGTATTTTAGTAGAGATGGAGTTTCATCATGTTGGCCAGGCTGGTCTTGAAGTCCTGACCTCAGGTGATCCACCCACCTTGGACTCCCAAAGTGCTGGGATTACAGGTGTGAGCCACTGCGCCCGGCCACAATAACCTGATTTTCATTAGTCAATTCTCTTAATAGACATTGAGGACTCATAAAGAGAAAGGCTTCCTGGGGAATAATGGTATAGATACTTGAATTCTTGTTCACAGATGGAGCCTCTATTCACCCATCTCCCGTATATTGACCTGAAAACCAGACAGCATTAGGGAAAGGCTGAGTAAATCTGTATATACCCATATCTAATAAAGGAAAAGAGAAACTGTGGCCTTGTATAAAGGACAACTCTCATTAATGAATAGACAGAAGGTGTGCATCCACATTTGCAGCGTGCCAGCAGAACAAAATTTGAAGCATTTTCTGGTTTCCTAAATAATAATTAGGCTGAAACACTTGCCTTCCTTAAATATAATTGTTATGGAGATTTTGAACAATTTCTTCAGCTGGAGTTGTGAGAAGTCCTGGGATTTTTCCTGTGTATATAAGGAGATGGCTATTTGATTTTTCCTTTAAGCCTATGTTGATTGTACCAACTCACTGTTCCATAAGATATTTTTAAAAATTACACTGTCAATCTGTATACATCGGCTTTACTGATGAGAAGCAAGCAGAGTTCAAGAAGCCTGTGGATTAATGTCTCTTCCATGAATTGGTAGCTACTGTGGAGTGTTCCAGCAAAGCTTTCTAAACAGCTCCCATCTTCAGAAGGAGTTGGCTGGAACCCTAATGGACCTGTGAGAGCCAATGAACCCTTTGGAAGTTCTAAGATGGCTAGTGAGGATGTTTACAGAGCTGCCGGAGATCTAACCTTGGACAGGCATCCACAAAGGTGAACTCAGTGAAGATTTCTTATTGTTATCTTCTTCCAGTTCCAAGCCTAAAGTCTTTCATGTTAGAATCAGAAGTAAGAGCTGAGTGAGTAGCCACAAGAGTGGAAGATCAATGGGCAGGACTAGGATGCCAAATCTCTGAATTTTGATGCAGGCAATTGCTTCATGTACTAGCCTCAGGAGGGACATATATGTAGGGGATGTTCCAGGAACATGCACTCTGCAATAACAAAGACATCAGCCTCAGCCCCTATCTGATAGACTGCAGTGGGATAAGGAGGCTTCAGATTTGCATTTGGCTTCCTTTCCTGAGGGTTGGAGCAATTCAGTATCAGCCACCCTTGCTTTCCTCTTTTTGCTTCTCTAAGACCTCTTATTCCCACTAATTTTTCTCAGATCAAGGCTGGCCTAAAGCACAAGGCATTCACAGGTCTTGTTTTAAAAAACACAAATGTGATGGAGGAAAGACAGACGAGAGTCACACCTTGGAAGATAACCCTCTTTCCTTCTCCCTCTGAGATTTTGTCACCCTTGCTTACTGGCTCTATTTTGTGTCCTTTGGACTTCTCTTGTGTGTGTGTGTGTGTTTTTTTTTGACATGAGCAGAGCTCGACTTAAAGTGATCTAAGTGGAGTAGGGTCCTTGGAATATTGGAGAGAGGCTGGGGCATCCTTAGAGACAAGAGTAACATCAAAAAGTCGTATTTATCTAACCAGATACCCCTTTTGAGTTTCTTTCTATCATTCAGATCTATGACAATGCTCTTATAACCACTCAACTGGGCAAAAAGGCAAAAACTTCCTAGTCTACTTACTGCTGAGCAGGAAGAACTCATTCTTCATTTGACGTTCTAGTTGAGGCATTGTCCATAGTCAAGTCATTACCCTAGTCACGGGAGACCAAAGTGTGAAACTGTAGGGAAACGTGCAACCAGGGTAGAAAAGAAAGGGAGCTCTCTTGTTTGTCAGGTTCCCTTTTAAAGACGTAAATGAACCAATCCAAGTTGTACTGAACCTTAACTCATCCACTTGTGGTTATAACTACTGTGCTTTTGTCTTTCTTAGTCTCCACGGGAGCCATGCTGGGAATTAATGGAGCCATGGAACTGCTTTTCAAGGTTATTACTCCTTACACCCGAAAGCGCACCCGAGCAATCAGGTACAGAGTGCCGTGTAATGCTTCTGCCCCTTTTGTAACACATGGAGAGATGGAGATTGTCCCATGTGTGTTTTCTTTCTTTCTTTTTTTTTTAATTGCATTTTAGGTTTTGGGGTACATGTGAAGAACATGCAAGATTGTTGCATAGGTACACACGTGGCAGTGTGATTTGCTGCCTTCCTCCCCTTCACCTATATCTGGCATTTCTCCCCATGCTCTCTCTCCCCATCTCCCCACCCCGCGCCGTCCCTCCCCTGTTTCCCCGCAACAGACCCCAGTGTGTAGTGCTCCCCTCCCTGTGTCCATGTGTTCTCATTGTTCAACACCCACCTGTGAGTGAGAACATGCGGTGTTTGATTTTCTGCTCTTGTGTCAGTTTGCTGAGAATGATAATGTGGCACATATACACCATGGAGTATTATGCAGCCATCAAAAACGATGAGTTTGTGTCCTTTGTAGGGACATGGATGAATCTGGAAACCACGTGTATTTTCACGGTGCTTCCAGCTCAGTTTAGTGATGACTTCTCCCTTGGAAATACGGTACAATGTCTTTATCGCTTCCCAGGCCACATCCCTCCACTCCCATGGGTCATTTCCTCTAATTTTCATGATAACCCTGAATGGATGTATTATTATTCTCTTTCTCAGATGAGGAAGTTAAAATGTGGAGAGAGCCTTATCCAAGGTTACCATGCTAGGAAATAGTAGAGTTGAGATTTGAATCCAGGTCTTTCACACTGGAAACCTCATGTTATTTTTGCCTGAAGCCCTCAGGTATCTACTTTTTTCTCACAGCAAATCTACCATAAATAAATATAATCCTCAAAAGACATTCCAGAAATGACAGGGTTTCTAAAGAGTCAGCCAGTAAAACTTCTGGCGTGAGTTCTGGGCCTTATAATAGTCCATCATGATCATGTGCTGGTCTTGAGATGTATTTTTATGATTGGAAAATGAAACTCAGCCTATTCTCTCTGCCTCTGCTTGCTGGAGTGGGGTGAATCATCAAGTTAAAAAGGGAGATGGTTAGACATGAAGGCTTTAGAGATATTCGGGACCATTAAGATCCATCATTTATGGGAGTGACTCAGCGAGGACCTTGAAAGAATATTAGAAGAAATTCAGCCAATTTCCAAGATAGATGGGGTCATTTGGCAAGTAACATTTCCATGCTCAACCATGATATTTTCTGCATCCCAGCATCAATCTTAGGCTTATGTTCCACCTGATTATTTTTCTCTTGGGTCACTACAGTTATGCCATTATCATCCATTCTCACCTGCAACTCTCTACCCCAAGCATTTCCTAGAGTGAAATACACTATATCTCAGTGAAAAAAAATTCTCATCCAATAAGTTGAGAAATACTGGCTTGAATACTGGTTTCTTTACTGTAAGACCTCTCAGAGTCTTTGTAAAGTCAACACATATTGAAAATATCTGTTATTTAGTATACCCTGATCAAAAACTGATTTAGTCAGGAGCTGTCTTTTTTTTTTTTTTTTTTTTTTTGAGATCAACTTTTTTTTTTTTTTAGGGAAAGAAAGGGGGTCAGTGTTTTATGTATTTCATTTTGGAAACATCTTCCCTAGGGTGTGAATTTACTGCAAAGTGGAATTCAATTAAATTTTACTAAGGGCCGGGCGCGGTGGCTCAAGCCTGTAATCCTAGCACTTTGGGAGGCCGAGACGGGTGGATCACGAGGTCAAGAGATCGAGACCATCCTGGTCAACATAGTGAAACCCCGTCTCTACTAAAAATACAAAAAATTAGCTGGGCATGGTGGCACGTGCCTGTAATCCCAGCTACTCGGGAGGCTGAGGCAGGAGAATTGCCTGAACCCAGGAGGTGGAGGTTGCGGTGAGCTGAGATCGCGCCGTTGCACTCCAGCCTGGGTAACAAGAGCGAAACTCTGTCTCAAAAAAAAAAAAAAAAAAAAATTCTACTAAGGACCCTCATCTAGTAGGTAAAAGCTTCAAAATAAAAAACTCAAGGACCAAAAAAAATTTCCTTTATTTTCGATAATTATACTTTACTCTGTCTTGAATTTACATTTATGTCAGATAACAGGAAACATAAAGCAGTGTCTTATCAGGAATCTAATGCAAATTAGTGATTCTTTGGTTCATCCAGGGTTTTCACTCTTCTGCCCTTCTTCCTCAAGTGCATCTGAGTTCTAAGAAGTCATGGTAGTGCTGGGGTGTTGATGGACAAACACAGATTGTCCTCCACCATCTCCTGTCCATTTGGACATATATGTTATTTGGATATGTCTCATTTTTATCACCGTGTACAGGCCTTTACTGCTGACATCTGCAGTGTCCACATGTTCTTTGGTCACCAATCTGTGAACTTGCTGCCCTATTCACAAGGCTTCTTCTAATGTGATATTGTCATAATTCAGCTGTTCAGAAGATCAGGAATGTCTGGCTTCTTCCTTAGGTTATGTGAAAATCTGTGTGACGTCTGCTGGGCTCATCCACATATGCATCTCACTCAGTTTTCTCTTGTTTATCATGTGAGTACCATGTTGTTTAGAGGGATCCTCTAGGAAGCCCTTTTCACATAACCATGGGTACCAAGGCACTAGGTCTCTCCTTTCTGGGAGCGTTCATTGTCTTCCTCATTCAGGCCAAGCTTCTTGGTAGCTGGGAGAAATCAACAAAGCATAGACACCTTCTCCTCAGAGACTCCCATTTGTTGCCATTTGTATTGCTTTCTTTTCCTCCTGCAAAGGGAGTTGAATTCAGGCACAAATCTGATCAAGGTTCCAGAGGCAATTGGGAAAGTAATACCAGGGATTAATAGGAGTGGGAGTGGGGTGCTTCTAATAACAAAAGGAGCCTTCCAGGGACCTCAGGCATATTTCTACATGTCTGGTTTGTTTCATAAATTTTGGGTAAGATGGCTCCCTTTCTGCTGTCAAATGCTATATTAAAACCAAACCTCTGTAGGAGAGAAGCTTTTCCAGCATCCATTACAATATTGACATGGTGTTTATTAGGTGCCCTGCACTGTGTTAAGCTCTTAGCATGCATTACCTCCTTTGAGCCTCTTATCTGCTCTGCAAGGCAGGTACTATTATTGTCCCCAATTTTACTGGAAAATAATTTGAAACTGAAAGAAGTTAAGTAACATACTGGGTTTTAAGTGAAAGAGCTAGGATTTAAACTCTGTCTGATACATGAGCCTCAGCTCTTAAGCCACCACTGGCGTATCTCACACAGTCTATTTCCAGCATTTTATTTCTAAAGCCATCCTAAGTAAGACAATCATATGCAGTTAAAGTTTGCTTAAATCTAAATGGCTAATACCCATGGAACAATTTGCTTAATGATAGAGGAGTCTTTCTCCTCCATCAAATGGCCGTTTCCTCTCAAAGGCTAAATATCTATTCCTTTTGCTTTTGAATTCTTTCCCAAAGCTACCTTGTTTTCGATCTCATCCTCACTCATCAACAGCAGGATAAGAACAAAGGTAATGAAATTGGAAGACCTGCTCTGTCAGCCACCTTCTAGCAGATTCCTTGGCGAGTCATTTAACTTTTCTTAACTAAACTTTGACATTTCTTAAAGCATGAATGTCAAGTCTTACCTCCTAGGTTTATTGTGGGCAATAAAAAATAATGTGTAAAAACGTTGTGTGCTTTGACATGCTGTGACGTTGTTAATCATTATTAATGCAAATACTCTGGGGTGCCTGGTTGTCTGCTGCGAATCAGGGGGCAGAGGCTGGGGAAGAGTCTGGAGATGAGAACTTCCTGCCAGTTTTCATCTTTCACTAACTCCATCCTGAAAATAGTAACTAAGACATACCCAAACGAATTCTACCCAAGTCATTTGGATGACAGAACCTGTGGGCTTGAGGGGGTCTTGCAGGGAGGGGACAAAGTGACATGTCAGGGGACATGGAGAGCTCTGCTAAGTATCACCCTCCAAACGCCAGCATGCTATGGGAGAGTTATTCCGGGATGCCTTTGTAGGAGCAGATGCCCAGTGTTGTGTCACTACGGCTCCTCCCTCCTGTGGAGATTAAACCTGCCCTACTTCTCTAGCATGAACCTAAAATTAGATGTGCAGCTGTCCTCCAGTGAAGCCCTGTCTCCAGATAGTACTCAGGGCGAGATTCACGACAGAGGCTCCAACCACATACCTGCTAGAGAGAAGAGACACGAAGAGCAATGTCACAACCCTCTGTGGCCTTGTGCTAGTCCTCGCCCCAGGGCAGGCAGCTATTTCAGGCCTCATCCACTTCCCAGATATCCGCCATGCCGCACACACTTGGGTCGGCTTGTGCCTGCTTCCTTCCTTCGGCTCCTCAAGTCCCACGCTAGTTGGAGCAGTTATGGTCAGACTCAGACTGCTACGATAGCCCTCAAGTTGGTCTCCCTTCATTTCAAAGCCATCAGGAATGTGCCTCAGGCTCTCTTTCCAGACTGGTTTCTCATTCCTGCTCTCATCTCTCTTTCCAGCCCGCTATCCCCAAGTGTGGTATTCCCTCTTCTTCCCCAGGCCTCCCCCTTGCTCTGGAATGCCGACACTGCCTTGTGCAGTGGTAGAAGGTACTACCCAGTCTCCAGACTTCACTGGATGCCACCTGCTCCATCCCGCCAGGGAAAAGGAATCTGCTTTCCTCAGAAGTTTGTTTAGACCTTCTTTCAACTTATATTCTATTGAACTCTGTACTGTGTTGAACTACGTGCGTTTTCTCCTCTCTAAATTCTATACTTCCTAATGTAGGAATCAAATTATATGTATTTGTTATTTTCCATCCCTCCTAGCCCAGTGCCTAGATGATAATAGGCTCTTAATTAAAAGAATCCGAGCATGGTGGCTCACATCTGTAATTCCATTGCTTTGGGAGGCTGAGGCAGGCTGATCGCTTGAGGCCAGGAGTTTGAGACCAGCCAGGGCAATGTAGCGAAACCCTATCTCTACAAGAAATTAGTTGGGTGTGGTGGTGTACGCCTGTAGTCCTAGTTACTCAGGAGGCTGAGATG